CGCTGTTGTCAGCTGATCGGTCGCATTTTCTTCGCGTGGTGTGTCGTTTTCTATGTGGAGGGGAGGCTTTTACATTTGTATTTGAGGACTCGAATCTGATAAGCTTTTTTCTGTTTTATTTATTTTTCTTGCGATTAGATATTTCTAGTTTTTTTTTCTTTTGCGGTCTTGAAATCAAATAAGTAAACCATATGATTGGTGACAAAGTAAAGCATTTGCAAGACTTAAAAAAATAACGCATTATATATATATATATATATATATATATATATATATATATATATATATATATATACATATATATATATATATACATATATATATATATATATATATATATATATATATATATATATATATATACATACACACACACACACACACACACACACACACACACACACACATATATATATATATATATATATATATATATATATATATATATATATATATATATATATATATTTATATATATGTATATTTATATATATATTTATATATATATATATATATATTTATATATATATATTTATATATATATTTATATATATATATATATATATATATATATATATATATATATATATATATATATAATGCGTTAAATTGAAGCACAGATTCTTAAAAACGTCTCCAGCATTTTCTCCCTTTGTTTCAAAGATGTCTGATCACTGTGACGCAGAACAAAGAATACCTAAGTTATAGCAACAGATCAATATAAAATATTATTACACTACATGAAGCTGTAACGTCAAACAGATCTGATATTGCCATTGCATATCGAGCACTTTTAATTGTTATTTTAATAGATATCATGAAAATGACTATACATAATAACACATAACAATAATAACAGTACCTAAGTATGTGATCTAGTGGATAAAGTGAAATAAAATGGAATCCAATCTGAGAATCCCTGATATACATTAATAAAATAACTGATACGATATTGAAAGAAAAGAAATAATGTTCAGTAAGACGACACAGCAGTTTACATAACAATAACCAGGGTAATATTAACGAAGACCTGACGAGTATTAATATCAGTACTTTTTTTTCCGAATGAACAATCAGTCTCTCTTTCCCGACATCACGAACTAGAACTAGAACTAGAACTTTCGGCTGTCACTGACTGATAAACTACGATAATGCTTGACAGATATGACTTATCTTTGCGTTTTCGTTAAACAAATAAACCATAGCTATAATGTGTCTCATGTCGCGGGCGGGTTTATAGGCGGCAAATCGGAGACGAGAGGAAGGCGGAGGGAGGGGGGAGGGGGGGGAGAGGGCCACCTTCACCTGGGTCTTGGTGGAGGGGGGAGGGGAGACGACCACCTTCACCTGGGCCTGGTGGAGGGGAGGGAGGGGGGGACGGCCACCTTCACCTGGGCCTGGTGGAGGGGGGAGGGGGGGACGGCCACCTTCACCTGGGTCTAGGTGGAGGGGGGAGGGGGGGACGGCCACCTTCACCTAGGTTTAGATGGAGGGGGGAGGGGGGAAACGGCCACCTTCACCTAGGTTTAGATGGAGGGGGGAGGGGGGGACGGCCACCTTCACCTGGGTCTAGGTGGAGGGAGGAGGAGGGGGGAGACGAGAGTAAAGCGAGGAGACAATAATATTCTTTAATATTCTTTACAGCGTGCCTTGAAAACTCCATCAATAGAAGAACAAATGCGAGGACATGAGACTGCGCACGTGGTAATTAATATTCTAGGATGATTTTTTTTCCTATCTTTAAATCTAATTGGAAAATAAAACTTACCGAAAATGAGTCACAATTCACCCGTTTCGAACATCTTTTAAAAAATCCTCGTCATTTCCCGCCTTTTCGTCCGGTTGTCCAAAATATAAATGTTTTTTCTTATTTTCGCTCTTGATAAATAAATAAATAAATAAATAAATAAATAAAAATAGACAAATAAATAACTTAATTAAGTAATAACAAATCCTTGGAAAGTTGCGAACCACCTACGCCTTTGATATATTCCTGCAGCGTATGTTGCATATATTCATAAAAGACGCTTGTAATGTGACATGCATTTGCTACGATCATTTTTTTTTTTTTAAGAAAACGTGTGCATCATATCCGGAATAATAAGTGATGAACGAATGCGGATGCAATAAGCTAACAAATATGAAAAATCTTCGTTAATTAATGGATTGATAAATTTGAGATCGAGGCTATCGATATAATAACTCTAACAATAACATTAATAGTTATAGATAAACAAACGAATGTGCGTGCGTGCGTGTGTGTATGTGTTTTGTTGTGTGTGTCTGTGTATGTGTGTGTTTTGCTGTGTGTGTGTGTGTGTGTTTTGTTGTGTGTGTGTATGTGTGTGTGTGTGTGTGTGTGTGTGTGTGTGTGTGTGTGTGCGTGCGTGTGCGGGCATGGGGGCGTGTGCTTGCTTAGCTTTCACGTAAAGCAATGTGGTTTTATAAAACATAAAAAGGAAGGCCATTAACCTTTTAGTTTCTAGTTTACGACACAATGTAAGTGTATTTCCTGTAACTCCATTTGATTATTAGAGTTAAAGTTTTATATTAGAGTTATAGATATTAGAGTTTATTAGAGTTTTACTGATGTCGGGAAGGAGTTTTATTAGAGTTTTACTGATGTCGGGAAGGAGTTTTATTAGAGTTTTACTGATGTCGGGAAGGAGTTTTATTAGAGTTTTACTGATGTCGGGAAGGAGTTTTATTAGAGTTTTACTGATGTCGGGAAGGAGTTTTATTAGAGTTTTACTGATGTCGGGAAGGAGTATTATTAGAGTTTTACTGATGTCGGGAAGGAGTTTTATTAGAGTTTTACTGATGTCGGGAAAGAAAGACTATAGATTCGTTTTAGAGTTTTACTGATGACTACATATTAGAGTTTTAATAATGTCGAGAAAGAAAGACTATATATCCGAATAGTACTGTAAGGTCTGCGTTAACCTTGCCTTCGATATTGTTATATAATCTACTGTTGAAGCATCGTCAGCATCATTCTTTCCGAAAATCAGTAAACTACAAGCATGGCATAAGAACATGACGTGTATTCTTGCCAGCATTATCACCATGATCATTATATGACATAAGGACATAAGGTGTTATCATTTGCATCGATCATCATGACAAGTCGATATTTGTACGCAAGACGGACTACTGATACACGAATAATATTAACTAGGGTCATTAACCGCTGCTATTTATTGCATACTTAGAGACAATTTTTTATTTTCAAAACTGTTTTTTCTCGCGTAACCCTTCCCAGATATGAGAGGGGGGAGGGGGTAGAGGCAGGGCACGTAGCTCTTGGTACGTACCCCCACTCCCCCTACCCCACCCCTGAGCGAATCTATAAGATGTCATGTCATATCACAATTGTCATTTTCGTG